TTGTTATGTGTGCTGCTGCTGCCTGCTCATCCTTCTTCGACTTTCAGTTAGGTATTGCTGACGGACAAGAGGAAGAAGGAACCACAGGTGTGGGGAAGCAAGTCCACTTGGAATGGTGCAGAAAAAAAGAGAAGTGTTCCAACGATATTGAAGATGAATTAAGAAGGTTAAAAGGCGAATGTGAGAAGGTTGCTTTAGAAAAAAGTTCTGAGGTATCGTCACTCTTGGCAGAAAATACATTTGTGTGGAATCAATATAATTTAATGGAGAAGGACTACACAAATAAATTAAGGAGTAAACAAGCTGAAGTAGAAAAAGCAAAAGAGAAGATAACTATACTTGTTTCCAGCATGGAGCTACTGCAGTCTGAAAATAATAAAAAGGATAGCACAGTTTCACAGTTACAAAGTAAAGTGGCTGATATGGAGGCTGAGACAAAAAGATTAAACAAAGAAATATCAGGACTTTCAGTGGAGTTGGAATCTTTAAGAAAGTTCAGGAACAACCAAGTTACACCTGTTTTAAATCATTGCACTGAAGGAACTAAAGCATCTGAATCGGGAATCATTACGAGCAGTGAAAAGGTATAGCCTTTGCTTTTACTAATTGCTTATCTTCACTTATTGTCCTGTTTATTTTGTCTGCATTGTATCAGTCATGCCCTTTTGCTGGTAGCGTCATTAATTAAAATCTGCTATCTTTTTTTGTGGGCCGTGATTTAGAGCTCAGGATTTTTTTCTTGGAACACTGTATGTAAGTGGGAGAATTGCCCGTTTACAATACACAAAAAATATTCAAGATGAAGTTTAACAAGTGCATGCTATTGTAGGCCTCGCATAAACCATGACCTGTGTGTTAGGCTAGTATAATGAACATGGGGCTGTGTCTGCTAAAAAATAATGTGAATTGTAGGAGCACCTTCAATTCATTGGATTAACATCTGTGTATTTATTTCTATAAAAAAATAAGTGTATCTATTGTAGAGTTGTTCCCATCTGTGATTTGCTTTTGAATTGTCAGCAAGTACTGTCTTCTGCTGTGTTTGCTATCGAGTTGTAACATTTGCATTTTCATGCATTTCACAATCACTTGCTAACCTAATGCGGCCAGTTTAGCGTATACATTGCTTATTGAGCTTCATTGTATTGGCTATATGAAAATAGCTTCACCAGTATATAATGTTTCAGTAGTCAAGGGTGGTATTTTTCAATATGACTTGCTGGTCCTGTGTCTATTCACCAAATAGAAGTGATGTCATGTTGAGCCTAGCTCCCCGTGGGTTGGGTGGGTGAAAGTTTAGATATAGAAGGTTTTAAGGTCTGAAGTTTGATTTCATTTGACAATTGAGAAATGAAGGCGTTCCTTATTGTTTTATTTGTTTTCTCTTCCCTGAATCTTAATGTCCAGGGAAATAAAAGCCTGAAGAGGAAAGAAGCCCCAGTTATTCCCCCTCAGAGACTCCAAAACTGTTCTCTTCCAGCTTCAAGGTTCCAAAACTGAAGCCCTCTTTAAGGGTCAGATGACAGATGACGTCTTTCTGTTAATTTTTAGCCTACTAGGAGATGGTAGGCCCTGTATCTGTATATGGTTTTTGTATGATGCTCTTTTTATGTAAATTATGTATGAGCTTTGTTTGTGTTTGGAATAGGTCCGTTCACAGTTCTTCTAATTAACATCTTTGGTGTAAGTTTGTATGAGATTCGACTTGTAAGGTAAATTGTGTATCGGCTTTTAGCTTGGGACAAGTTTATTCATAATTCTTCTAACCAAAATGTCAGATATGTCATTCTCAATATCATTCAAACGAAGGTGGTGTAATAATGGTGGTTTCAGTTGGCAAGGACGCTGATAGTTAGCATCAAGCCCGGTTAAGAAACAAGCGAAAACGTTAAGGACAAACAAATACAAATTTCAGAAGCGCACGAGTTCTGAAACGATTGATGAAGCTTTGATAGCACAATAACAGGAATGAACAAACAAATATATATGAAACTAGATGATGGTAAAAACGAAAAAGGAAAAATTTGCAGCCATTTTGAAATATTTAATGATTAGCATTTCCTTGAATAAGAATAACAGTTATTGTAATTTGTAAACTACTGCATTTCGTCTCCAAAAAAAGGAGAGAGAGAGAGAGAGAGAAGTAAACATGAATTTTAAAGCATGTTTGGGTGACTAAGCATGTAGATTAACTGGCATTCGTTTGTTTTAGTTTAATCAGTGATTTTGAGCATGATAGTTAAAATCTCAATTTATCATTGTGTTTTTACGATTTTTTTTATCAATATACTAATCATTTTTATTGTAAGTGTTTTTATGATTTTTTATGATTTTTTTTACGTTATAATTGTACATTTTACGATTTTTTATTTCCATTCATTTTTATGTAAAATCTCATTTTTAATTACCTTAATCTTGAATTCAAGTTCTGGATATGTTACAAACTTAGTATGGAGAGAGCTTTACCGCCCTTGTGTCTTAGCCGATTGGACTGAATCAATAGATGAATAGGTGGGAGTATCTATAAAAAAAGAAGGGAAAAACTACTCTTATACTATATATGATAAATTTCTCTCCTACACACTTTTTGATAACTGTACCACATTTTTCTTTTCTTTTCTTTTTTATTTTTTAGGTGGTGGAGTCCATAAGTTTATCTCTATGACATGAGATAACTTATCTCCTTTAACATGATATTAATAAAACCCAAAAAAAAAACTTGTTTGGGCCTCAAAATTAATTTAAGGGATTAATGTTTCTCATGTGTAGAAAATAAACTTAAGGGATTAATTTAAAGTGTCTAGGGCCCATGTGAAAAGAAAATAGAAAAAAAAATATGGATTCCACATACTTTTATATATGTGTAGGAGATAAAATTATCTCTTATAATATGAAAAACACTAATCGCTTAATTTAATCTATCATTTACTGGCTAAGTTGATTCTTAGTTCTTGCGTGACCTTGCTCTCCTACTCATCTAATTTGATGTCATATATTTAAGGATTTTCTAAGAGTTATGTTGTAGGAAAAATGATTGTGTTATGTTATAGAGATTCGTTTTATGTGCCGTAGTTTTTTTCTTTTCTTTAAAACATGCGGGTCCCACAAAATATTATGTGTGTAAGAAATTTTTTGTGATCATGTTAAATGATGAATGTAAACCTCTATATAATGGATATTTATTTCATAATATTAAAAGGAGGATCAGTGTTTTCGTGGAAAGGGATGTTTATTAAAAGGAATTTTGGTGGCTTGTGTCTTCGTGGAGTGTGCAAAGATGAAGCTACTTTGTGTTTGTAGTGATTATAGGGTAGTGTCATTTGACTCATTGTATTGATTCTACGCTGCACCAATTTGAGGTTGGACCAGATGTGTGAATGTCTACTATAACATTTGTGGACCAATATATCACAGAAATAAGCATGATGTCAAAATAGTTACACACCATGAGAGTAGAATATATCATGAGGGAACAAAAAGTGTAGGTACATCCTTTTGCATTATAGAGCCGGAGAAACGCTGACAATGAGCTCTGTTAGAGCTTCGAAGGTGTTAGAAATCGACAACACACAAATCGAAAACGAAAAAAGAAAAGAAAGAAAATAGACACAGTGATTTATCCTAATTCACTCAATTTAAACTACGTCCAGCTTGTCTGTACTATATTCACCTCACCGCCACTAGTTACAAATCACTCGGTTTACAAAGAAAATATAAATAGAATTAGAAAACTCTAACAACAGCTATTCATAGGCCCAAGTCCAAACTGTTAAGAAAATTACAATAGATTTTTTAATGGAAGGACATACTGATCCTCGACCACATTAAAAAATTCCCTATACACACGATCAAATGCTTTTAGAAGGCTTCTTTGTTTGTTTGTTTTTTATAGACAAAAGGGTTTCAACCTTGATGTAAAAGACATCCATATTTATAAACAAACAATATAATTCAGAAAAAAATTATAATTAAATATAAATCTTTATCAAATATTAATTTCTGAAAATATGAAATATATTATATATGGAATCCTGATATGTTAATATTTTTCTAAAAAAATGTAAAATTTGTTAAAGATAAAAAATTTAAAAATAATAAAATATCTCTCGAGAATTTTCTAAAAAACAATATAATAATCACTAAATAACATAATGATCTTTAAATATATACTTTATTTAAGATTATATTTATTATTTTAATATATATTTTTTTACTTAAATGTTGTTTTTAAATAAATATTTAATTACTTTAAATGATAATTTCATTCTTATATAATAAATTATAATATATATTTTTGACGGTGATTAAATATTTTAGGGGGATGTACTAGATTAGAATTTTAAAAGATTTTTTTGTGATAAAAAATCTTATAGATTATACAAGACTATTTAGAATTGGAGGGACTTTAAAAACTTTTTTAAATGGAGGAAAATATAACTACTGAAGGCCAAACTTCAAAAGAAGAAGAAGATCTACTACGTAGGAGTAATAAGAGAAATAAAGATGGAGATATGGTGTTTACTGAATCACAGTCTAGGGTTCCTAGACATGAATCTTGGATGGTTGACGACGGTAATAAAAAGATGACTTGGCGAGAGATGCTCATGCAACACAATGGTGAAACAGATGACTGGGAAGGAATGGATTGGAATTTGGAAGAAAATGTTGATCAAAATGCACCTGCGGAGGAAGAGGATGTGAATTATGGTGGGATTAAAATGTGGACAGAGGAAGATGGTAGAACTCATTTTGGTTGTACTAGAAAAGCAAGAACAAGAATGCTGAAGGTTTGGGAAAAAGCTCTCATTGTAAAACTACTTGGAAGGAATACAGGAGTGGCTTTCATGAAAAAGAAGATTGAAATACTATGGGCTAGAGCTGGAAAGATTAGCGTTAGAGATGTAGGTAATGGATTCTATGTGGTGCAGTTTAGCAACAAAGATGATCTTCTTTTTGCTCTAAATGGTGGTCCTTGGATTATTTTAGGCCATTATTTATCACTCCGACATTGGGAGCCAGCTTTTAGACCAAATGTTGCAAGTGTGATGAAGATTGCAGCTTGGGTGCGATTTCCGGGTATCCCACTGGAGTATTATGATGAAGCCTTTTTCCGCCGTATTGGTAACTGGCTAGGTAAAATGTTGAAGATCGATAAGACAACTAATGAGCATGTAAGAGGACAGTTTGCTCGAATTTGCGTGGAACTGGATCTTGCTCAGCCTTTGAAGGGTGAATATGTGTTGGACGGAGCAACTAAACAGATAGAATATGAAGGTTTAGGCCTTATTTGTTTCCATTGTGGGCGCTATGGACATAGTAAAGATTGTTGTCCTGAGATACCAGTTGAAGGAAAGGATAATCAGCAAAATCAAGACGGGAAAAAAGATGAGGCTGAGTTTCAGAAAAATGGATTAGGTCCTTGGATGGTGGTGCAACGTCAACGTCGATCAAAAATTCAAACTCCAATGGCGGACAACAGGAAGCAGGAACCGGTTCGAAGGGAATCAAGGCGTAATCAAGGGAGTAATCAAGGGAGTAATCAAGGGAATAATCAATGGAGTAATCAAGGGAGTAATCAACCGCAATCAAATCAGCCGGTTATGATTGATAATCAATTAAATTCCCGTTACGCTGCTTTAATGGGCTCTAATGAAGATGATATTACTCATGATATCCCAGCGACTAATCCGGATGCTGTTATAAATGACGTCAATATGGTGGGCCCTCCTGTTAATATTGATATTAGTACATCTCAAGGGTCCAAACACAGAAACCCTAGAAGCCGTCCTAATGTTGAATTACAGGAACACCCCAACCGATTTACGTTAAGTGGGATTACGACAGGTCATGAAAAAGAAAATCAAATAAATGGGAAGATAGTTGACAGAGGTACCTCAAACAATAATACAACGAACTTGAGGAGGCAAGTTGTGATTCATAATAGTAAGGACATTGGAGGTAAAAGCGGTGGAGATTCCATGGTGGCTAGGAGTACTGTTGCTGATTATAACAAAGATTGTTATCAAATGGAGGTGGATAAGGATGGTCAAAATATCAACGGCTTAGATCATGGCTTGTCCCAACCAAAAGCGCCTGATCCAAGTAGAGATAAAGGAAAGCATATCCCAATAAACCATAAGCTCAATATTGAGGTGGAGATGATTTCAGAATCTAAAACTGCAATGACAATGGAATGGCAGTGGACCCACAATCCTACCAAATTACCATTGATTAATGTCTTTAGTTACATGGAATTGCCGCGGGGCGGCTAAAAAGTGCTTCAAATCAACGTTTCAAATGATGGTTCGAAGGCATAAGATTGAGGTGGCAGCTATTCTTGAACCTCGAGTAAGTGGTTCAAAAGCAAAACAGATAATAAAAAAGCTGGGTTTTAATAATTCAATAGTGGAGGATGCTCATGGATTTACGGGAGGTCTTTGGTTACTATGGAATAATGATAGGTGTCAGGTTCAAGCATTAAAACAGACCCATCAATTTATTCATGTTCGTGTTACATTGGCAGATCATCAAGCTTTTCTTTATACTGTTATCTATGCAAGTCCTAGAGAAGAAATTCAAGAGACTTTGGGATGATTTACTTCAGTTATCAGAAGATATCTCGGTTCCTTGGTTAATTGCAGGTGATTTTAATGAAATTGCCTTTCCAAG